GGGACCATGCTGCAGGGCTACCTGCAGACCAGCTGCATCGTGGCAGCCCTGGGCCCGAGAGTTGGGACTTACGGTCCCACAGAATGTCAGACCAGCAGGGGTAAATAGCGTCCTGACTGGAGCTACGAAGTCCACAGGTCCCTGCACTTCTGTTGCGTATATTTCAGTTGGGAAGCAGTGTAAAATTTTGCCTCCTGTGCAGCACAGGTAGCTGAGCAAGCTGGTGCAATGAGGGAGAGCAAAGTTCCCAGCAGCTGCTGCTTGAATTGATATCCTTGTTACCAAGAAATGTTTCCTGGAATCTGTAGCTGGGCCCTTAGCAGGAGGGACCTGCAAGCATGACCCTAGCAGAGATGTTTAGGTGGTGTCTGGTGTGTTAGGAGGGTGGCAGCTGCGTTCTATGATTTCCCTCTTCTCCTGCAACTGATGACTGAGTTCCTGTGTGGCATTCGTGTGGTCAAGTTCTACGCTTGGGAGCAGCACTTTGGCACCCGGATAGATGCCTGCCGCGCTAAAGAGCTGCAGAAGTTGAGAATCATCAAGTACTTGGATGCCGTGTGCGTGTATCTGTGGGCAGCGCTGCCCGTTGTTGTCTCCATTGTCATCTTCATCACGTACGTCCTGCTGGGCCACCAGCTCACTGCCACCAAGGTGAGTGAACAGGGCGATCCCAGGTGACAGCAGTGCTCACTGTGGGCAGCAAAGAGGGCTCCAGAGCAGCATGAGCCTGCAGTGGGGCTGCAGGTTGAGGGGTGTTCTCTGGGAAACTAATTCAGTCTGCGTGTCCCGCAACCCCTTCAGGGTGCTACTGGTGAAGCTGTTTGGAGGGTGCAGGGTGCAAGGGAGGTGCTGCTTGCAGTTCACTATTGCTTTCATACCCACACAGGTATTCACAGCATTGGCCCTCGTAGGGATGCTCATTCTCCCCCTCAACAGCTTCCCATGGGTGCTGAATGGGACCTTGGATGCCAAAGTTTCCCTGGATCGAATCCAGCGCTTCCTTGAACTCGCAGACCAGGACCTGGAGGCTTATTATGCTCTAGGTAATGGAGGAGGATGCTGCTGGGATTTGCAGCTTGGGCAGGGAGGATTCAGAGCCGGGAGCAGTGGTGTAGGGCACAGGGGCAACACCAGCAGCTGTCTGTCACCTCATACTTCAGGACATCCAGTGTTGGAACCAGAGTGAAGGCGCTCAGTTTCTATGGAAAGCAGGAGGAGAGACTAGAGCATTGCTGTTGCTTGTCCCCATTGAGCCCTGCCACCCGCGTCCCCTTAGAAGAGACTGTTCTGGCCTCTTTCCAAAGCTCCTCTGACAATGAAGCTATTGACAACCTGAGTTTAGTCTGGCAGAAAGGCTCAGATGGGTGCCCCTCTCCTGGGCCATCACTGCTGCCTTTCTCTCTGCCTTTGCCTGTTGCCATTCGTTCATGTTCAGCAGTAATAAAAGCAGGTTGTCCTCACAGTGCCTCCCCAAGAGCCAGCAGGTCACCGTGTGTGGCCAGTGGGTGTTGGAGATAGGTGAGTTGGGGAGGGAAGGAAAAGTTTAAGGACAAACCCATGGGTGGCTGCCTTAGCCTGTGGGTCCAGGGCAT